ACCTGACACATCTTAGCTGTTAAAAGGCAAAAAGAACACAGATGGTTGAAACCAAATTTTTGTATAAAATGAGCAACCAGATTTCATCGGCATATCTAAGCAGATAACTTTGTTGCAGGTACCAGTACAAAAGTAGGTCCCTAAAAATGCTTCTGAGAGAAATGTGGTTTCAGGTGTTGCAGCCACTGACGAGCGATACCACAGCAGACAGCCAGGGCTGTCTGTACAGCAGGGACTGTGTAAGGGACTCACACTGTGTAGTGTGATATTGCCTTTTGAAAGGCAGATATTGCAAATAGTCAGGCTCTCAAGTGAAAAATCAATAGTTCCTCCCTCTACCCCATCACTTACAGGAAGACCTAGCATGGCTAGAGGGCAAGCAGAGCATATTCTGAGCATAGCATTGTCTTCCCCAAGATGTTTTCAGGAATTATCACTATCATTCTCTACCTCTGGGAAAAATAAAATCACTCAGCTTGAAATACCCAACAACTTTGCTTTGTCCATTCCTCACTTGTGGAAACTCAAATCCCAGGACCTGTATTTGCACTCAAAGAAGACTGGGGCTTTACTTTTCCCATTTCTCAGTAGTCTATTCTTCTTTCCTCATGCTGGCCTTGGAAGCCTAGGTGATCTTTCAAAAAATTTAAGGAAGCCCAGGCGAGCCTTTGTAAAGATGTCTCAAGGTTGTTAATGCTGAGCTGACCGTACCCCATGTCGTTTAACTCTGCTGGCATTTCCCAACAGCAGGCTGTTTATCTTCTAAGCAGCAGATTACCTGTTCTTTCAGTCCACTCTGTATTCCTGCAGACGAGCTAAAATCTAATTCCACATAGAGCTCCCAGCCAAAGAAGAGGACAATGAGTTCTTTTTCAGTCATTGTAAGACAAGTCCTATGCTCATTTGGACTTTAATTAAATTTTATCCAGACATTATCTTTCCCTTTTTTCTGTTAGACAATTTTCTCAGTTTCCTGGAAGGGTCCCAGAATCCATGGTTTGCTGCTGGTTTTGCCTGTAATTTATAAAAAAACCCTATGAACAAAAGTAAATTATCAACAGCAAGAGGTTGCATTGGGTCTGCCTGAGATGGAGTTAATTTTCCACATCATAGCCCTCCCAGAGCTGCACTGGTACCTATGAAGGTGTTGCTCACACCCCAGTGTTTTGGCTGCAGCATCAAGGCTGCTGGGGCAGCATCAAGGCTGTCTCTCCAGCACTCCCCTCTTACCAGTAGGCTGGGGGTGGGCAAGGTCTTGGGAGGGGCCATAGCCAGGACAGCTGATCCAACTGACCAAGGGCATATTCCATACCATGCTATGTCTGCTCAGCAATAAAAGCTAAGAGAAAGGAGGACGTAGGGGGCATTTTTATTACAATGCTTGTCTTCTGGAATAACTGCTATGCCTATAGAAGCCCTGCTTCCTGGGAAGTGGCTGGGCATCACCTGCTGATGGGAAGTAGAGAATAATTTTTTTCCTAGGCTTCTGCACATAGCCTTCACTTTTGTTTTATTAAACTACCTTTATCTTGAGCCACAGTTTTTTTCCATCTTATTTTTAACTTCCCCCCCCAATCCTGCTGTGGGGAGGAGGGATAGAGTAGCTTGGTGGGTAGCTGGTGTCCAGCTGAAGTCAGGACTCTAAAACTGGGAAGGCCATTCTCACCATAGTTCAATGTGACAGAATTCTGAGATTAATTCTGGGCAGGTTTTCTTTTCTCCAGAAGTGACTGGAGGGCAGTTCAGAGCTTGCCATAAACCAGGTGAACTTCCACCACGTTTCACACATAAAACTAGGTCAGAAATGTCTGAAAGCTTTAGGATGAGCCAGATGACTTTGAAAGCACCTGGGGTCACAAACTGATACATTTTCTCCATTGGGCTTCCCAGGAATACAATAGAGATAAGGTTTTGGTAGAGAATAGACAAGGGAGAAAGGCTTGGATCTGGAGGGAAATTTGGCCTAACATTCTGATAACTTTAAGTGAAATAGCCTTACCTATAAAGAAAAACAACCATCTCAATAAAATACTTGGAACTGTTCTCTCTGGTTTTATACTGCATATAAAACAAAGCAAACCTGAGAGAAAAAAGTTTTATTATTGATTTGCTATATGTCTTTGTCTGACTTCTTGAGCCCTAGAGACAGAGAATGAGATGTCTTGTACTTCACACCGTGTGCAGTTCTAGGATGACTCCTCTCCTTCCATGGAAGCTGAGGCATCACATTTAAAACTGGGCAGCTGAATTGCCTCTAGCAGTTGGCTTCAATAAAGGATCAGACAACTACCACCATATGAGAACATTTCCACTGGACATGAATCTTAGTGTTAGGGTCCAATTTTCAAAATACTTTCCCCTAGCTTGGAAGTGCTTAGCATTCACAGAGTCCTGAGGTGAAGGAAGGATACCAGAGCAGTAGCCCTCTTTGGACAAGCACTTGCTTCTCACTGGGAATACTTTCTTTCTCTCCTTTTCTGCATATTGTTTCATCATACACTCTCAGGAGCTGCTGAACTAATCAAATTCATCTACCTGGGAAGGCATGTACAACAATGCCAAATCTAATGAAGCAAGAAGACACATGGTTTCTGTAAGTCTAATTTACTTTTAAAAAGACCACATTTATTCCCTGAGCTGATTACTCTGCCAAACATATTATGGGGTCCTCTAAAAATGCCAAAAAATTGGATGCTTCCAGGCTAACTGAAAATGAAATATTTTCAGTGCAGTGACTCCTTGTTAAGATGAAAGGAAACAAGAAGGAAGAAAAATGTCATCTGCAACTGAGGGAAAAGGAAAACTTCATGTGCAAGCTGTATGTAAACAGACTGTGTTGGCATTGTCCAAAACTAAGACATAAAGCAGAAAACTAAGAGGATCTAAGCAAAGAAAATGAGAATGTTGAGTCAAAGATCACATCTGATCCAGTGTTCATGCTTGTCTTGAAGATTGTATGCCTCATATTTTATGTCTTATCAGTTTGACAAGATCAGGATGTAACTGTATGCAACTCCTTTGAACATAAAGTTCACACAAATGGGAGATCTCCCATTGTCTCCTTTCTCTGCACATCAATCATTTCAGTGTCCTTTCTGCTCCACTCTCTTGATAATCTTTATCTGAAGACAGTAGGAGCCTTTGCCAGTCTCACACTGTGGCTTTCTGCAATGGCACCTCCTGCCTCTTTAGGAGTAAAATGGGAAATTGTCTTCCAAAAAGGTCCTGTCCCTCAAAATGTCCAACACCGTTGTTTGCTGCCTCATTCTTATAGTTTGCTGCCTGCAAGCACTGTGTGTGCAGGAACAGAGTGATGGATTTGGAGTTCACAACAATGTCTTTTGAAATTTGTACCATTAATGTCACATCCACCATAGCTCCGATATTCTTGTGTCTGATGTCACACACAGAGAAGGGGGGAAGAGCACACTCTAGAAAATTACTGTAGGATCTCAGACACTGACAAAGCTGGAACTTGTCAGTCCTAGAGCCACCTGTGGGTGCAGTTCTGCCACGGCTGGTTTAAATCTGGCCTGGTTGTGCCTACCAGCACTACAGGACAGAGATACTCCGTGGAATATCTTTGCCTTTCATGACAGGTCTGCTAACAATTATTTTTAAGTTCTCACTGTTTGAGAGGCTGTAGCATCTAAGTGTCTCCTCTGGCTAATGTTCAGTGGCCTGGTGACACAAGGTTACCACTGCCTTCCTTAAATGACTATCAAGGAAAGGGACTCTGCAGCATTGCAGGCGAGTGCCTTTCATTAGAGGCACAGCTCCCATTCATGCAAAGAAATGCAATCCCTTTTCCTTCAGTTTATGGTTAGGTGCTGCTTGTGCTAATTTAAGGAAAGGTACATGAGAAGAGGAGTGTGTGCAGAGCTGGGGGAATACAGTTCCCACCATTACTATCACAGCCTTCTCACAAAGGCTTTCCAGTAACAGTTCACACCATCTATTTTTATCCCCAGCTGCAATGAAGCTAATAGCTCGCATCAGGGTCATTTTGGCAGTGGGTGGAAGGCCTAAACTCTCTGATATTTAGGCTGCAGTATCTGCTAGAAGAGCTTTTTCACACACTGTGCCTAATTCTCTACTGCAATTAAACTTCACTTTACCACAGTAATAGGCCTTCAGCTGGGAATACAGCAATTCGTGTCTCTTTGCACAATGCAATGTAAAGCAAGATTGGTGTGAGTAAAAACCTGCTCATGTATGCCCTACATAACACAATTGAAAAAGAAACCAGGCACCTCTTGAAACAGGTGGATATTTGCTGTTTTCTGCTAAGGTATTTGTGTGTCTTTTTTTTTTTTTAAACTAAAGAGCAGAAAAGGATGATGTCAGTGGGTTTTATCCCTATGTTTTGTTTATTTTTAGAAATGGACCAACAAACAACCATGACCTAAATTCTACAAGACAGAAGTGCACACAAGCACATTGTTTCATATCAGAATGTATTTGAGTTCTGACAATTTCAGCAGAACTGTACACATATATCTTCTTTAAAAGCAGGCTACAAAAAACTAATTCACCAATACAGTGCAAGTGAACTGTAAGGTCTGATATTTGAGACGGCGAACTCAGCCCTTTAACTTTTTGGTTTTCATACACAGATAATGTGCAAATAGCATTAAAATTCAGACATAAATCTGTCAGAGGCAAAAAAGAGATGACAGCACTTTTAAGTGAGCATCAGTTTTATACTGTCATTATAGGGAAGCTGGAATCAGGATGGAACAAGCTTCAAACTGGGCATGTGCGGACTCTGCCCCCTCCTGTATTTAAATGGAAGCCGCTGCTGCTGCCCTTTGCTGAGCTGGGGATGGACTGAAGCAATCTGAAGCTCTAGTGAGAAACTCTGCACTGGATCTCACACTGTTCCAAAGAATCTAACAACCTGCTTTGCACACACACACACACAAAGGTAAACTGGCTGACTTGAATTTAGAGGACAGCTCTTCTTTCTTGGTTTTTGCTTAGATTTTGTTCACCTAAATAATCAGCCCATCCAGAGGGGGATCTCTTGTCCCTCTGAGGAAGCCAACAGCACCAAAACTGTGGAGGCCTTCAAAGCTTGGAATGACTCGGAAGCCAATGCCTACACACTCATGGATCTGCCTCTTAGAGCCCCAACAGTAAGTGTTTTCTGTCACTAAAAGCTGTAGCATATAGATCTCTGGCAATGCTGCCATTTATAGGACTGTAAATGGACATTTAAGGAGCATGTACACATTTAATGCTGTAATGCCATAATGCACAACATAATGAAAACTTTTAAATCCTCTTTTTATTCCTTAAACTATTTATTTAATGCAGAAAGGACTGCACAAGCAGTGTTTTTCAGCAGTTACACGGGTAGAAGGCAGAAAGGAATGACTGATGGCACAGTGCATCCAATATGTTGCAAACTATTGAAACGTTCTTGTACATTGAACAGCTGTTTAGCAGCTCAAACACAATGCTCGCTTGTGTTATTATCCAGGATGGAAATCCCTACAATTTCTGTAATAATCTGTATGTAAGTGCAGTGGAGTGCTTATGTCAATGTTAAAAGAGTTGTTATGTGCAGTTACCCAGGAAAGTTTTTCAGAAATTTTTCCCAGGTAAGTCCTATCAAAGCTCTTTCTCAGTTTTTAAATACTGAAGAGAAAGAAAACTTCCTTGGAAGTGTGCAGGTGAGAATCTGTTGTGATGACACTTCAGAATGGAATCTTTTGGGTTTGCTAAAAATATTCTCCATCTGACCCCACAAGCCTGAACCAAAGGAGTTGAGAGGTCCTCTGCCTGTTTTTGTCTCTCAGTATGCTATCAGAACTACAAAGTTTTGTTCACCTGCTGTCTATACAAAAGTCTGTTTAAAAGCATATAATAAAAATGTGACCCAACCTAATTTTCAAAGTTTTTAAAATCTAATTTTAATTAAACCTGGATGTGTGAAGTGTATTACAGAAAAATTAACAGAGAAGTGTCCTGAGCCAAGGCACTTATACACTAAATTAGATGGATAACACAAGAAAGAGGATACCAGAACATAGCAGGGAGAGAAAAAAGGGACTGGAGAGAGCATGGCAAAATGGAAAAGGATTCTGGGGATGGAATGATTTACACTGGAAAATTAAAAATTGATCTTTGACTTATTCTGCTGAAAGATTTAATTAGTTGTCTGTTTCCCCTCCCTAGGTCAAGTGCCTGTATTTCCAAACTTTTGTGGTTTAATTTGACACATAAAACTGGTTTAAGAGAGTTTCAGGACTGAAAGCAGAATGCGCTGCTTGTGGCTGAGATTAAATCTGGAAGATAGGACACAAAATCTACTATCCAAATTGCTCAACAAGACAAACGTCATCCATGGAAAGCCCTGCTGTCAACTGGAAAGAGGGCTTAGCAGTCAGCGTCACCCTGCTGAAACCGTAATTGAGGTGGGATTACACTCCTGTCTGTGCTGCCTGTCATCACAGAGCAAGTGCCTACAGAGGCAAGCTCAGAAATCAGAGCGAGGACCTGTAAAGAAAAATGAGTGCTCTCAGTTGTTTGAGGCCTCTTGTAGGTAGGCAATACAAACACCACACAAGAAACCCCAGGAAATGGTAGTGTTTCTGATCTGATAATTTTTCTAAACTATATAGTTTGTTGTAATGTAAAAGGCCTAACACATTGGTTGGATAAGTCATACTATGTAAATAAGCAGCTTCCCTACCTGTATTTGTAAGAAAATTAACAACAAAGGAACCTGTTATATTGCCAAAGTCAATGTCAGACTGCCAAAACTTGCACGTGTTTTGGAACTGGGCTCTATTCCATTCAAACATTAATTCTGCAAAACCAATGCCTACATTGTCGAGTCAGATGAATTCATAAAACCCACAGCATAGCAGTCCCTATTTCCTTTTCCTTTTCCCTTTCCTTGTCTTGTTTTACACCAAATTAGATACAATCCATCTGCCATGTTCAGGCAGAAGTAGCTGAAAAATGTCCTTGTCGTAGTCTTTTCTGTTCCTAGCTTTGGAATTGTCTTGACAAACTTCATGGTGAAATACAAGTTCTGCCCTACAGGCCCTAATGAATCTGCCCTGTGGCTGATTAATTTTTACCCTTTCTCTGCTTGCACTTAAGCCTTAGCAGGAGGGCCTGTGCTGTGCTCTCTCCCTAAAGTAGGAGGCTGGTTCCTCAGATTGTCCCTCCAGGAAGAATTCTGCCTCCCACAGTAAGCAGCTGTGGCAGCTGGCCATAAATAGAGAATAATGAGGTTCCATATTGTGCTGCAGCCTCCACAGGCAAGGCCAGAACGGCGAGGATTTAGACATATCTATCTGTAACACATTCATTTTTCTTCAAACTCCTGAAAAGCATCTCAAGTTTATAAGCCTCAGTCAAGTTTACTGACAGACAACTGAAAACACAGTTCTGTTTTAGCTGTCTTGTAGGCAATAGACAAACATTCCTTTAGGGAAAACAGTGAGCACTTTAAGAAGGCAAACTGCCTTAAACCTAAGTGTTTCCCTCCACTCTAGTGCTTCCACAAGGACACTCTTAAACCTGCTGGAAGGAAACACATGAACGTAGAGCAACTTCGTGACTTCTTGACACTGCATCTATTGAGGCAAATGATAGGGCAGGATTTAGCAATGGATTACACCTATATATGGAGGATAAAAATATTCTACACTAAGATTATCCTTTCAAAGGGTTAATAACCCTGTTTTAGGGTACTAAGACTATTTAAAATAAAATTCCCATGTCACTGTTCATTCTGCATGTTTCGCATCTCTATGAAGCCCAGTCATGGCTAAAGGCAGGATAATGTTTTGTCAGGAATGCTCATCTGAATTGGTTAACCAGAGTAAAATTATTTATTGATTCTGCAAAACTATAGTCTAAATAAATAATAAATGACATGTCTTTCAGAGATAAAAACTCACAGTTCTTACACAGCTGTAGCAAAAGGCCTGTTTTCATACGCACCCAAACAAAATTATAAAACCTACTTTTAACCTGCTAAAGGTTGAGAGAGTTGGGTTTGTTGGGCCTGTGGAAGAGAAGGCTTTGAGGAGACCTTAGTAGTCTTTCAGTACCTAAAGTGGGTCTATAAGAGGGAATTTTTACAAGGACACAGTATTAGGACAAGGGGAAATGGCTTCAAACTGAAGGTTTAAATTAGATATTGGAAAGAAATTCCTTACTATGAGGATGTGAGGCACTGGGACAGGTTGCCCAGAAAAGCTGTGAATGCCCCATCCCTGGAAGTGTTCAAGGCCAGGCTGGATGGGGCTTTGAGCAACCTGGTCTAGTGGAAGGTGTCCCCGCCCATGGCAGGGAGGTTGGAACTGGATATTCTTTAAGGTCCCTTCCAACCTAAATCATTCTGTGTTTCTATGGACACCCCCAAGTCCTTCTCCCAAGGGCTGCACTCAATCCATTCTTTGCCCAGCCTGTATTTGTGCTTGGGATTGTCCTGACCCACATTTAGAACCTTGTCTTGGCCTTGTTGAACTCCATGAGGTTTCACAGCCCCCCTCTCAAGCCTGTCCAGGTCCCTCTGGATGGCATCCCTTCCCTCCAGCGTGTCAACCACAGCACACAGCTTGGTGTCACCAGCAAACCTGCTGAGGGTGCCGATCCCACTGTCCCTGTCACTGACAAAGCTGTTGGTCTCAGTACCAATCCCTGCATTGTGAGGTGTTTATAGGAAGAAGGCTGAGCAGAAAAACAAGGCATTATCACTGCAACTGAAATAGCAGCTCAGAGTATTCTCACAGGACAGGTGCAACAATACAGGTTGCAACAGCGGGATTTTTATTCTTCCCTTCCAACCAAGTGCTGTGGGAGGACAACAGAAGACAGAACAAACAAGGCTAATGCGCTGGGGGAACTGAACAGAGAAAAGCTTTGGGAATTAACTGATTTCTTGATTATCCTGCTGACCTGATTTTCTCAAGCATTATCTTTTTCTCCCATCCTTTCTTTTGACATGCAATTCCAACAGAAGTTACAGAGCTGAACTTGAGACAGGGACATGTTTTTGTCTTGTAGTAAGGAAATGTATGTATGTATGCAATTTAGTGATGAATTTGTAGTCCTTAAGCCTGAGCTAATGCTTTCTTGGTCAACTAGTAACCTTCTTTGACTGACACAATCATAGAATCAGACCTGTATTTCCAATAAAAACAGTGAAATTAATTTTTTTAACAATTGATTTTTATCTCTTAGAGAACAGCCGGAGTTGTATTCTCTTTAGGACTTGTACCAAGTCCTAAAGAAGTCCACGCTAAAATGCTAATTTATTCCTTTCTGCCACAGATCTCTTTTTTTTTGCCCTTATATGTAGTATAATTTATGTCCTTTAACTGCTCCAGTATAAATATTACTCCTTTATTTTTCCCACACTTGACATTTTTATTGACTCTGAACTTGTTTCACTTGTGAATGTCACTTCAGTCTTCTACTTTCCCTTAAGTAACCTTGCCTCTCTTGTGATTTCTCTGTGTATTTATATTTGTCTTTTAAGTTTTTCTTGTCCTTAGTCCTCCAAAAATTTAATTCAAATTAAAGCCATTCTAATCTGGTTTTTGTAGCCAAAACAATCTCCTTTAGTTGCTTCATTTCTATTACATTGATCCAGTTCTGATTAAATGGGTAGCTACAGGGAAAAAACATCAGGAATTTCCATTCCACTAATAATCATAATTAACCCTCTGTAGAACAGCAGTTTAAAAATTTTCTAGCCACAAGACTAAGGAGAAATTAAACCAACCCAAACCAAAGAACACCTGATCTCATTTACTTAAAACAGTTTTATCTCAGACTCTCCCTATCCACTTGCTATTAGTATGGGATTATTTTTGTTAGTTTACTGGCAGTGTGTTGAGCACAGCAATTTCCACCTAGGCAAGGTGCCCATTCATGTTGATGATGTGATACCAACTTACACTTTGCTGCAGGAACCTGAGCAATAAATGCCATGATACTGTCATCCAGTTAGTGTATTAACCTTAACATTCTTCTCCAGTTACCATAACAGCCAGAGCTATGTTTTCTCTCTCTAAGATCAGAGTATCTGTCCAGCATTTCATTGCTGCTAATGTAGGAACCCAAGGAGTGCACTCCAGTTGCTGAGGATTGCTGTGGGCAGACCTTTGGCACACAAAGCAAAGACAGTCTCTTCCAGAATTCCAGACACTCCTGGGGTTCACCTCTTGCTATTGGCACATTGATTTTAAATACACACTGCCTCAGATAACCTCAGCCCAACCTCACAGATGTATCCAGAAGTAAAGTCCACCTCTATTGTCTACAAATACCCATTTCCTTTGACAGCTGGGGTTCTGTCAAAGGCATTTATGACTTGCACTCTAACAGTGAATGCCAACTACCACACAGCTGTAGCATAAAAGGCAGAGCTTCATATCAACCTCTGTGCACTCTCCTCCTTTCCTGCTAGCAACCTTCCTTTTCCTAGAAAGGAATGACTGCACATGACAGCTGTACCCCCACCTGCCAGTACCTACGATTGGAAAGAACACATCCAGCCTCAGAGCACTACTGAAGTTTGGTACAGGCACAGACCTTGGTGAGGCAATTCCCTTGTCCTGGATCCCAGGCCACAGCCAAGTTGACAGTATTCACAGGAGGTAGGCTACCAAAGATTCAAAGTATTTCCTGGCCTTTTCACAACCCTGGTGTGAGTCTGGAAGCTCAGTAGCTGAGGAATGCCATGGCTGCAGCTTGCAGGGTTAAGCTACGAGCAGAGTGAGTGGCCACCCTTGATGAGAAAAGCCTGGCTGTGAAGAAGTTGCAGATGAATGAGGATGAGACCCGGTATTTTTCATGAGTCCATTAGCTGGTTGGAGCTGATGCCAAAAGGTGTTTAGGACACTGGCAGCTGCACAGAGGTGAGTGTTTAAGTCTCCTCACCTGACCTTATGTCAAAAGGCAGCAGAATAGGAATAGTTTGGACAGCAATTCTTCTCTTCAGTTTCTATCAGGTGATGCTGCTTCTTGGGTGCAGCCTTATAGTTTGCTTCATTGCTTCAATCTTGGCCTAAAATGTTTTTGTGACTCCTCATACTTAAGTAAAAAAATGTTTTTAAAATTATTTAAAATACTGTAGTCTTCAGACTTGGCTACAGAATTTTGCTCTGAGTTATTAATTGATTAAGACACAGAAGCTTTGATCAAAGTGCTTTATGAAATACTTCACACACAGCAAAATACTTTTATTCATTGCAGAGCAAAACCAGAACTGGTGTGGAAACCAGGCATAAGGTATACAGGGTTTGTGTTTTAGTTTTCCTGATCCTTAATTTAGATTCCAGAAGACTCTTGTTTATCACTATCAGGCTTTTGGTAATCAGCTCTTGAGGGCAGCCTGCAATTCAGTGTTATTCAGTGGGAGAAATGGAATAGCCATACTGCCAAAAGAGTGAATGCCTGTTTCTCCATAGATCATTTCTACTTAGTTAGAGTCTACCCAGTGATGTCATAGGACAACAGAAACAACACTTCACAGGTACAGAAACTTTCCTGAAATGAAAACTATAGAAAGCTTAATTGTTAAATATTGCATTCCTTGATGTCAGATGCCATGAAACGGGTCCCCTCCTGTCTCTTTTTTTTCTCCTCTATATCCTTATCTTTCTTTTGGGAGGGAACAGGTTGCTTTTCTGCACCAAAATTCTGAATAAACAGCAAACATATAAAATGCCTTTTGCACTGTTGATGGCATATTTATCCCCTGAGGTTTATCAACAGTAAATGTAGTTTGAAAGCCATTAGCTCATTCTGACTTTTTTTGCTTGCTGTCTTTTTGCATTCTGGACCGTTTCCTCTTCCAGAGAAGCACATGCCAGCTTATTCTGAAGTCTGGCAATATACCTATGACCTGTTGTTTGCTCCATAGAAGATGACAGTGCAAGATGTTCCTGATGCCTTTCCTACAGTGGATGTCCCAGACCATGCCCATTATACGATTGGAATAGTCATTCTTATAGTGGGGATCACAGGAACTCTGGGTAATTTCCTGGTCTTCTATGCTTTCTGCAGGTATCTTTCTTTTGAATGTCTTTTTAAATATTCAAATATAAGAATGAGAACCGTACCTTGTGCTCTGCAAACACGGTGCAGGCATACTATCAGACTGCTATGCAGGCATGGTAAAATGCACCAAGAGACATGGCTGTGGGAAAAGATGTGGCAAACCTGCCATTTCCCTCTGACTTCCTCCCAATACCCACAGCCATAACAAAATGGTTAGCAAAACTCCCCAGAATCACCCAGATATGCCAAGAAGTAGAAAAGCAGCCAAAGCAGAAACGTTCATTTTTTTTTCTACTGCCTGAACTGTGTCTGCACTGGACTGATGGGCTGTTTTGCACCCCTGTGTCCCACAAATCTCTATTTTTGATGCGTCCTTCTTCCTGCTTTTAGCTGCTCAGTTTCTTTTCCCCCTCTGTTCCTTAGTGGCCATGCCCCATTTTTTCACATTTTCTAACACTTGGCTTATTTCCTTTTAACTAACTAAATTACATTCCAGCTCTTATACCTGAGGGAAATTTGTTCTCTGACAACAGTGTGATATGTCTACCATGTCCACCTGTGTCTGCTTTGTCACACTGAGGCAGAGCGTTGGCATCATGTCCAGGCTGGTGAGCTTCTACTGTGTGACTGGTCTTTAGACACTAAGTAATAAACCAAAATAACAGCAATTACATGATAATTTGCCTGGGTTAACTCACATCACTGGAGTGTGGAGGAAAGTAGTCTGGGTCTCAAGTCTGTATTTATGGGGTGCATTAAATGTTAGGGTTTGGCATGTGCATTCAAAGTAGATACCAACACTTAAGTGTGAATGACAATGGCCTTAAGAACAGGAAAGGGTTGGCATGCAGGTCAGATATGTGAGGATGAAGGACGTGTGCTGGCTGAGCTCTTTGCTGATCCCATACAGGAAATCCAGTCACAGCAGTTGCAGTTCCACTGGAGGACACAGCTTGTCTTCACTTGAAGGTGTTATGAAAACAGAAAGGGATACTGATAGCAAAGTAACAAGTACATCAGAAATTCAGAGAACACTTGAGGTGCTTACAAAGCAGTCTCAAGTAATGGCAAACAGTAAAACAGCCATTACTGTTTCTGTTACTGCCTGAAACAGAAAAATGTTCTGTAATTCTGCAGACTATGGAACAAATACACACAGCCCATAAGCACCTACCAATAATATCTCCTTGCTCCTAAATTGACAGATAGGGGACAGTAGTTCTAGAGATTGATTCTGGACTAGTGCAAAGAACCATCATTTATTCAGGCCATTTCCAGTTGTGTCTAAGACTGAAAATTTGAGAAAGGAGCTAAAAAGTTACACTGAGCCCCAGAGTGAGAAACTCTCCACTGAGTTTTTATGTGTACTCTTTAAAACACTGCACTATAATACTAAAAATAACATACACAGGCAGGATGCACTGAAGGCTGACTATTGCTCTCTTTAAAGTCAGTGTTCAGACCAGTGAAATGAGTGTCATAGAGAAGAACTAATGTTAAACAAAATGCTTCATATGGTACATAGTGAGTTTGCTTAATCCCTCTATTTGGAAGTCACTGTTGATCTTATCAGCAGTGGAAAATGCACTCCCTTCTCCTGCTTAACACGACCCAGATCCAGAAATCCATACTATACATCGACTTTAATTTCCTGTTAATCGTGGACATGCAGTGCACTGGGTTAGAATATTTAAAGAACAATATGATTTATCCCCATCACTGAGCTGGTTATGAGAACAATCCTTTAAAGTGCACAGGAGTATAAGGGTGTTCTCTCATGAGGGAAATGAGAAGCACTACGCTCTAGCTTACTGTGTAGCATTCCTTGGTATTTGTGAAGCTGCCAAGGCTCACAGGAAGGAGTAACAGCACAATTAACAGTGCAGGAGTGTTTAGCAACATCTCTTCTGCTCTTTTTAGGACTAGGAGCCTTCGGACTCCAGCCAACATGTTCATCATCAATCTGGCTATTAGTGACCTCCTGATGTCCATCACACAGTCTCCAGTTTTTTTCACCAACAGCCTCCACAAACGCTGGATTTTCGGTGAGAAAGGTTTGTATATGTTCTTTCTAAGATATCACTATTTATGTTCTTACCATAGTGGCAGTTCATCTGTTTCCTTATCCTCAGGTACTCTTGCAATGTTGAGAACATTTATCAACATTGTTTCAGTGTTGACATAAATATTCCTTTGAACTTTTTTGTCTGTGTGCAACACATACATTCCCACCAGGAAAGCAAAATTACACGAGACAGATCCAAAGGCAGCATTGGCAATGTGAGGCACAACACTACTCTCTATGCCAGCATTCTTCCCCAGTCATCTCAGGACCCAGTTGCTTTGTCCTGTGATAAAGCAATGCCCCCTCAGCACACCAGCTTTAAAACTCTTCTAAATAACCTGCTCTGGGCCTTGCACTTGGCAAAGTGAGGCAAGAAAGGCTGGAAAATGTGAGTTTTCACAACAGAAATATTAACTGAACACTTCCTGTGTAGTAATAAAATGTGGAATGAAGGTGCTTTCATTCTTCCTATATAACTGTTCTAAGAGGAAGATTAGTCTTTGCCTCTTGAACAGCTACTGACAGAGATTATTACTTCTTAGAAGTCAGGGAAGTAAAGTTGCTATTTTGATCTCTGATGACCAAAAATGTATTTTTTAAATTCCATTAAGTGTTCATTTGCATACATGTTAAAATAAAACCCCAATCCAAACCACTGCTTTTAATCATTAGGTTGTTTGAGCAATTAAATTCACTCATTAATATATTCATACTCTGAATATTTACTTCAGAAAAATTACTCATTAATATATTCATAGTCTGCATATTTACTTCAGTTATGCTGACCTTGAGACATGAATTGTTCCATGATACCAAAGTAACTAAAACCCACTGTTAAGCCAAACAGCTGTTTCTATGAGAGCTGCAGTAAAACTGGATTTAAGCAAGACATTAATTGACAGCAGAAATGATCCCACTAGAAACATCAGAAATCAATGACTGAAAATATGTTAAGTATCACTGTCTCCAGCAATTGAAGCAAACAAAATCTTTGAAGTTTATCTCCATGGATAATGTAATTAGTAAGACAGACAGCAGCTTTGAAATAGCATTATAACTGCAGGAAAACTGAAGTTTCATTGCTTTACAAATTCCAGGAGACATTAGTTCATAAGAAACACAGACTTGAACTCTCCCAGAAATTAATTAGCATGGGCAGATTAATTTCACTGCTACTTCTGTCATCTTCATTGAAAGGCTGTGAGCTGTATGCCTTCTGTGGAGCTCTCTTTGGCATTACATCTATGATCACTTTGATGGTGATTGCCTTGGACAGATATTTTGTCATCACAAAACCTCTGGCTTCTGTTGGAGTGACATCTAAGAAGAAGGCCCTGATAATCCTGGTAGGAGTCTGGCTGTACTCTTTGGCTTGGAGTCTCCCACCCTTCTTTGGATGGAGTAAGTGAAATGGAATAAAACTTTTTTGCCCTCGTAGCATTGGATTAAAGACCAGTTACAGGCACAGGAGTGGGTTGAATTAATGGCTTGCATATTAGTCTTGAATAAATCAACCTGAAAAAAACCCTGATGTTTTTTTCATACATGTTGAAACTGAAGATCTCTAATCAAAAGAAAAAAATCCAGTGTGTATTACAGAATATTATATGACAATGGCACCTTCTCTTAAGCACATAAAGAACAGCAGATAAATTCACAACCAAAATTTATGAAGAATGTGCCTGCCTATTATCCCATGCCTACTTCTATTGAACCAAATTCAACAATCTAAAAGTGAAATAAATGTATTTGTGTTATTTCTGAAGACTTTTTTCATCCTTAAAGGTGCTGTGTAAGACAGTAGTCAATCTAATTTTCTTTATTCACAATAAGGAGGAATACAGTCTGAGCATTTTGTGCAAGTACATCTTTAGTAAGTCTCGACTGTGTTCCAGATGGACAAATTTCACTAGGTGTTGTCCACATTCTCCATTCCGTGATTGGTGTTGTCACTAAGGCTTCCAATAAGGATGGCATTTAGTAATAACTAAAATCCTTTCATAAATGTAAATTTTACACCTGCAAATTGGAACACTCGTACAGCACCTTGATCCTTGCAACGTGTCACAAAGAGAGTTTCTGTTATTCTTCCTCATTTGAATCTGCCTCACTACCATTAATTTATTTCCTGTGAGTCACCACTTTCAGTCAGTAAGTTACAATGAACTCATCAGTCAAAACCCCAGCCCATTATTATGCTCCCTAATTCCAGAAGGGAATGTGTCTGCTCAGCTGAGGTGAGAACACAGACGTGTTTGACTTTACTAAAGGATGTTGCAACCAACTCAGTTACTGAGCAGAATTTCAGCAGAATTTTGTTATTGTCATATTGTTGTCATCCTGGTGCCCCATAAACATGAAGCATGTTGAAGCAGGCAAACTGCAATATTGGCAGAACAGCCTTTAGTTGAGTGAGGACCTGTTAGAACAACAAGATGACAATATAGTCATAGATTCTCGATTCTTAATTGGAGAAGGTGGAATAATTGCTTGAAGGGTGTTGTTATCTTTTAATTAGATTCTAATAGTGTCCACAGTATGAACTCTCACACTGTAATTAGATGCATTTGAGAACATCTGGTGCAATACTTTTAAGAGTTGAACAGAAAATATCAGTGTAAACAGTGAAAATTAAAATTCTAAGGTAAAAAGACATTGCTATTATCAATTTATTTACTGAACAGTTTGACAGAGTTCTTTCAAATAGATTGCATTTTATTTCACTCAGAACATTAGGTATGTATGATTTTTTTTTTTTACTTGTACTCAGCTTTCCTCCATGACAAAATTAATTTGATCTACACAATAAATCTTTCTCCTTTGCCCAGTAAATTTCTCTTACCTGCACGAGCTTAAAAAAATGGTAGCCATAGCAATTGGTTTAACTCCTTGGGAGGACAGGAAATGGAGATACCTAAAAACAAATACAGGTCTGGTGCAAGACCCAGTAAGTATTTGGAGAGATGCTCTTTGACTATGATAAGCTTGAAACAATATTCAAGAACTGAAGCAAAATTGTTTAGTTTTTGGAAGCCTTAGACTGCTAAACATGAATACAATAGGACAACAGAGTAAAAGAAATAGAGAGGTGATTTGTATGAAGAATTGTTTATCCTTTTAAACTCTTTTTGCCTTTCAGAGAATAGGACTAAATCCTATGTTACTCTGAGTATCTTTCTCTAATTTCTGCACTCAGAATGACTTCATGATTTATGCCTTCTCCTGTCCTTCCTTCTAGGTGCATATGTTCCTGAGGGGCTGCTGACTTCCTGTTCCTGGGACTACATGACTTTCACCCCATCAGTCCGCGCCTACACGATGCTGCTTTTCTGCTTTGTCTTTTTCATTCCTTTGATTGCCATCATATACAGCTACGTCTTTATATTTGAGGCTATCAAGAAGGCCAACAAGTAAGTAGCCAACAGTCTCAAATTTCTATCCTTCTGTTTAAGTGACTGTTTATTTTCTTAAAACAAAGAAAAAAAAAGAAAGAACAGAAGAAAATTGGGAAGTTTTTCACTTTTATTTTGTATGCACAGCTGAGACAGGCAACCAGACAAGAATTCTGTCAATAGTCAACATGGTAAGAAGCATGATCCTTAGAAGTGCCATTCCTGAATTTAAGCCAGAGCTGTTCAGTATATTATCTAATGACATGGAAAAGGGTACAGAAATTATCCAACCATAAGAAGTACAAAAGGGACATCAGAGACACCTAACGACAGTGTATCAATAACTGTTCCACGGAAAAATATGTGGAATTGAACTACAAATTCCATCTTTGACAAAGGTGACAAGGAGATAAAACATTTAATCACTGGTCTCTGAAACAAAAAAACTATAGCAGTAAAAATCAAGGCCAGCCTGGCACTGTGTGTGTAACCTGCAGGAATCTGTCCTGTCTGTACCAGCGTGTCTGGTCACTTAGCTCTGAAGTACAAAGTGACAGCCAGGGAGAAAATCAGACCCAGGCAAGCAAAGACTCCTCTAACTGTCTTTAACATAGTGTTATTCAGCGGGGTTGAATACCTGTTTTATGTGAAAATTCTTCTGGTACAGGGCTGTTTTCTTCACTGAAGCACATTTGAATTTTGCCACTGCTAAATGCAACAAAAGTGCATTGGATTGTGAAGGACCAGTCACATACATTAGCAAGCATTAAAAGTGCAGGAGTTTTAGACTAAAGTAGCAGAAGAGTAATTGCTGCCCCACTTTATGAAGCTATTTGCTCAATTCCCTACTTTTGTTTTTTTGCTGTTGTATGTTTATTTCCTCTAGGTCTGTTCAGACATTTGGAAGCAAACATGGAAATAAAGAGTTCCAGAAACAGTATAAGAGGATGAAAAATGAGTGGAAGATGGCCAAAATTGCACTGATTGTCATCTTGCTTTTTGTCATTTCCTGGTCACCATACTCTGTTGTTGCTCTGGTAGCTTTTGCTGGGTAATTATAAACGTATCAGCAAAGGAATATTCAGTGAAAGCAAAAGCTATGAAATTGTAAAAGACAGATGAAAGTCAAAGCTACTCGTCAAGTTTAATGTCTGAAGTGTATCCAAAATATTCACACATTTAGGAGTAATATTTAACAAACAGGGCACATGCTAACTGTGATTTTTTTCTTAGTTTGACTTTAAGAAAAGTAAAAAAAAAAACAAAAGAGAGAAAGAAAATAGAAATGTTATTAATGTTATTGTTGGCAACATAAACCACCATGCTGAAGACTTCTGAATGCAGATTCTCTATGCTAGGATATTTGAACTATCTGAACTTTATTTAGCACCAAAGTGCTAAATAAAGGGCCCCAAAAAGATCCACCCAGGGGTTTATTCTCTTTTCTTTCTCCACTTCTTACAAAAGTCTTTTCATTTTGTCATGTTACAACAAACTGCTGAAATTCCTGACATGTATGAGCAAGTTCAAAATTAGTACAGTACTTGCATTGGGAGCTTTTTGATGCTGGATATAAAAGATCCTAAATATAAATCATCAAAGCATGTTCTTCATCTATTTAATTGTCAGCATTTTATACAGCAAATTCAACAGGAGCATGATAGTATTAAAACAGTATCTGCACAGAGCTTCACACCAGACTATAGTTGGTACAAACCAGGCACAGGTAATGGACTGGGAGTCCAGATGCCTTGGCTCTATGTGGTTATTTCTCCCCCATTAACATGTGAATTTTCCTGTGCTTCAGTTCAGCCTCTGTAAAATGTGTGACTATCTGCTTCAGGAAGGCTTGTCACCTGCAAAACCTCAAGTGGAAGATTCCTATGCCAGTACCAAACACTTCTCTCTGTATTTTTCAACTCAGAAATAAAACGTAGCTTTTCCTAAAATTGACTAAAATAGCTTAGGAACGCAGCTTCCTAAACATAGCACTTCTAAAATCTTCTTAAAATCATAGGCTTAAGATGAAAAAATACTGAGAGAAGAGGATTCTCTCCCTTTATATCCAGAAGGGTAATTCCAAGCAGCAGCAAACATTTTCTCCATGAAGGAAAACAAGTTCCTCACCTGGAAATGCAAATCCTTAGGATGTGTCCTAGTGTCCCATTTCCTGTCAAAGGGGGACTTAGGTACTGGATATCTCCCACTGGTGATATGTGAACAGTCAGACACTGAGGAAGAGCAAGGAGACAGAAATGCAGCACAGCTACCTTGCAGTACTCTAAGAGATCTAAAGAAAAAATAAATCAGAAGATGCTTTCAGCTAACTATTTTAGCTGCATAGAACTGTCAGGCTGTCCTGTGTGATTTAGCATCTACCTTAGGAGAATCAAATCTGCCTTAAGAGGATCAAGTGCCTGCTGAACTTGACTTCTGCTCCATGTCTCACACTCACAAAAAATCTGAACAAACGGACAATTTTGTAACTCTTCAGTTTGTCACAAATGAGCATTTGCAAATTTTGCTCATGAAGATATCTGGGGAGCAATATTGCTTCATTCAGCTTTTTTTCCATTTCTGAACTATGCCTTTTAGGCAATCCTTCTGGGATTTTTCAGAGATTGATAGACCGACGCCTCCTGTGAACTTTTATTACAACAGACTTGGATAAAATCACTGCATGCTACATCTGGGAGACAGATAAAGAGTCTGTGTCTATAGCCTGGGACTAAAGACAACTCACCTGACAGAGCAACAACATATTCTTCACTTAGAGTTCACTCTACAATGCAGGAAGAGGCCTTCAAAGCCTCCAAGGTCTATGGAGGATTTACCTGGTAGAAACTGCCTCTGAAGTGTTACTCTTATTTTGGTCTGAGCTGTTCTACTGACTTTCTTCTGACCGAGACTTGTGGACTACTTCAAGCTGTATTCAGAAATTAACTGGCTGATGGCAGCATGGCAGATAGACAACAATTCTTTTATCCTTCAGTCACATCACCTGCATATATGCATGGTCACAGTAACACGAGTGTAACATAAGACAAGTGAAAATACTTTCCCTTCACTGTTTGGTTCAGAAAAATACTTCCCCTTCACTTTTCAGGTCATTATCAGGAAAAAAAAAAAAGAAGTAGATTCGTCAGTTGTCTTTCCCTATAATGCCTCATTCTTCACACCTCTTTAGTGACATATTACCCAGGAAGTGTATCTGCTGAGTTTGGAACAGTTGGATACCCTGAGGAATGCACATTCACTTCTTGAAGGCTGACATTGTCCTTAGGCTAAACAACATGGGAATTACCACCGCCCTGAGTCATAGTAGTGAAGTGCTGCAAAAAAAGCCCCAAGAAAATCATATTTCTCAGAAATTAGACTGATGTTGATCTTTACAGGCAAAGGATGTAAAATTTGCTCTCTCACTGTTTAGGGACAGAACTCCCCTTTCACTTTCTCTGTAGTATTAATAAAGCATTGTCTTGCCAGTGTATATCTGCATAGACCATACAAAACTCTACACTAAATATATAATGTATTTGCATTACTCTAGGTATTCCCATGCCCTAACACCCTTCATGAACTCCATACCAGCTGTGATTGCCAAAGCTTCTGTCATCCATAACCCCATCATTTATGCCATCACTCACCCCAAATACAGGTAAGTTCAGTCTTATAAACTAAAACTTATAAACTATAAATCTGAGAGTAACTTTGTCACTTTTAGGACTAGCACCCAAACTCTCCCTCACCCGCTCATTTTAACTCATAGGACAGCCTTGCCCTCCACAAGAAAACTTCTCAATGCCATGTATACATCAGTGGAATTTGTACTTGGAACAAATTACTACACAGATGGGAATTTAGAGATGTTTGTGGATACTGATCTGTATTTACCTATCACATGATGAAAGATGGAAGCCTTTCCACCTCAAAGGAAAGCACCATAAATTTTTTAACTATCTTCAGGAGAGAGGCAGACAGGAAGAGGAAAGCTGGGCAGGAGTTTCCTCACATTGCATATGAGCAAAGTAATACTGTAATATAAGTACACATTTTGTACAACTCTAGAGATAGCCAGCAAACAGATGTGTAAGAGGAGGCTAGAATAGCTGCTTAGGGGAAGATTAAAATAATTAATTATGTGGGACTTCTGTGAGGTTCAGTTTAAAGGGACAGAATTTTATTTCTGCCCTGATTAAGCTGAAAGCAGATAAAACATTATTTTAACAGCTTCCTTCAGTTCCAAGAGTTATATTTTAATGCCCTTATCCTTGCCAAGCAATAAATTTGAGTTCTGCAGAATACTGTGAATAAGTGATCTTGCAGGGTGATTGTAGATGAGATATCTGATATGTGGAAAACTCTTTCTATACCCAGTAATTTTCCAGTCCATGCAGCATTAGTTCATCTCTCTGAATAAATGCATTGTTTATGATTTTGACTGAATGTTTGTGCTAACAGAAAAAAATCTGACTGGTTCTACCTCTTATCCATTAGAAGAGCCATTGCAACACATGTTCCTTGCCTTGGATCCCTACTGAGGGTTTCTCCCAGAGACTCACGATCTTCCAGCAGTTATTACTCCTCCAGACGAGCCACCGTAACCAGCCAGTCTTCTGAGACAAGTGGGCTGCAGAAAGGAAGAAGGAGACTGTCTTCTCTCTCTGACAGTGAATCAGTAAGGGAGACGCTTCCCATACACCCATTTTTAATTGCAAAGTAATTCATTTTCATGAAGAGTCGTTCCAAGCTGTAGATTCTCCAGATGAAAGGCATCACAGCACTCATTACAAGAGCTCCAGAGAAAGTGGAGGGAAAAAGTGAAATGAAAGACAGAAGGATGAAGTGTAAAAGAATGTAGGTCACTGTTTGCTTGATGGCTGGTGACACTGAAGGAAGAGCAGAAAGATGGAACAACAGGAATTTTAGAAAGTAAGGGAAGCTTGGAGTCAGAGCAGCCTTTAAAGCCTGACCACACTTCCAGGCTGCACTTGTCTGACCACAGGTTTGCAGTCTGGACACACACAAAACAAACTGCTCATCACTGCATAGTTCTCTGGTGAAAACAAGGTTGGAATGAAACAGATAATGCTCTCTGAAAGTGTGGTGTATTTGGAAACATATTAATCATCACACTTAGACAAATCAGTAAAACCATTACAGAATGTTTCTCACAGAAGACCTCAAGAGCTTGCTGCTGCCAGTGTAAGTGAAACCAAATGTTCTGCACAGCAGCTGAGAAGAGGGCAAACATTTGGCATCCCAGGCTCTCTCCTGCAACTCACAGTTACTTTACTAAGTAATAAACCACATTCAATAGTTCTTTGCAATTCTTTTTCACAGTAAAGATAATGATTGTATCTAATCCAGATAATTGCTGAATTCTGACAGTTATTTCCAATTTCTTTGCACTCCCTATTCTTTTGACTTCTCGGTCCAATCAAAATGAAATTCTTCTGGCTAGTGGCCACCATTCAGGTGGAAGATTTTAAAACTGGCTAATAGAAAAGTGACATTTTTATGATGCATCTCTTACACTGTGAATCCTGATTCTTAAAAAAACAACCAACTCCTTTGGTAAGACTGCATGTTCTTGTACTACTCTCAGTGCTAGGGAAGGGGAACCACACAAACAATTCATTTCACTTAGGAAAGCAACTCTTAATACTCAAAATAAAATAATGGAGTGGAGAATAAAAATTCTCCAAAGTAAAAAATTCCAAGCAATTGGCATGCTTCGCTCTGGAATCTTCTATAGCCTCGAGTAAGTCTGAATCTTGTTTGGAACAATGATAGACCTGAGATTTTCTGACAATATATGTTTCCCTATTTGATTTGGCCATAGAATACTCTAATTTATCAGTAAGTAATATCAGTTTAGCTGAAGTACAGAGCAGAGAGAAGGGCTCAAGTCTGAGCAAACAAAACTCTTCAATGCTCACTGATTGGGGTTTTTTTTGCACCATATGTGTCTCAATTAAGCTCTAAGATTTCTAGACATATACTCACAAGGCAAAAAGGCAGTACATATGCTGCCATGTGTTTTATGTCAAGGCTGATCATCAAACTGAAAGCTGATAAATTATCTTTATGCAATTTTTTTTTTTTTTGGTAATCCTGTGGATGCAAAGATATTCTGTATCTGGGAAAATCCAAAAGAAACAATTTCCAGTTAAGTCTTTGAGACAAAAAGCATCCAATCTCCAGAACAGATGCTCAGAAAAAAAAAGTTGCTTCCATTTTGAAAATCAATCAAATGGGACTGAGAGTGCTAATACACTCTACACATGGAATGGAAAGCACAGTACACATTTTTTAAAATGTTGGGCTCTAAGAAATAGTTTAGCCCAACCTCTTGTGCTCCAGCAGGAAAACATATATTTAGATTGTCTTCCTGGATATTTTGCTAAGCTCTTCTAAAAAATCTTCCATGAAGATATTTCAGTCTGGAAAGACTTCAGTGTGTAGACTCATCTTCATCATTGCTTCCCTAACAGTGAGAAAGCTGCTTCTGAAAATACAATCTAGATTGTCACTGTTCCAAATCAAATTAGTTTTTCTTTCCCCTTCTTCTGTGTCCCTTTTATCCTTCCCCACAGTTACACAGAAAGAAGTGATCCTTATTCTCCTTAGAGGAATCAATCTGTTATATATTAAAATTCTGGTATATCATCACCAGTTGGGATTCTCTCTCCTTATGCCAATTTATTCAGTTCCATCAGAGTTCATGTTTTTCTACACCTCCTATTTTTTTTCCTTCCCTGGGGAAAGTTTATCAAAGTATCAATACTTAAAAGTATCAAATATTGAAAGTATCAATAATTGCTTTGAGTATTGCTTTGCTCCCATTTGATGGAAGCTACATCCAAAGCACACAGATTGCTTATAAAAAAACTCTTGTGGAAGGAAAATATTGAGGAAAGTATCTTACAGTGTTATGTTCCCCCATTTTAAGGTAAAGTCCAACAGAAAATAGACTGAGCTGCTCATCAATCCCATTAACTGTTTCATTGTTTTGTTCTGACCTCTGGAATTCTGTGAATCTTGATCATTGTAGTGAAAAGGCTGACAAAGTGAGGAAAAGGAACAGAAGTTTTGGCTTCTAGGAGATACTGGTGGGCTGGGGTTTTTGTTCTTTTATTTTTTTGTTTTCCCATTAATTGGAACAAAGTTTATAAAAACCAGAGATCTTTCATAAAACAAAAATGTTTCTAGAGAATTGATTCTGCAGTCCTGAGATATTTCCTTCTATTTATTTCTGCTTCCACCCAAGCCAAATTTTAGACATGACAGACTTGACAGTTTTGTACTTCTTATAAGCAAACATTTTATGAAGTCATATATGGCAGAACTTTTGTGAAATATCTTTTATACAAGGTCTGTCTCTTTTACAGTTTCTATCTAGTTAAAACTGACTCTCATGGGGCAAATGGGATGAAAGTCTAAGGAACCTAGAGTGATTGTTTTTGCTGTATTAATTTTAGGCCTGTACTGAAACAAGTACTCCAGACTTGCAAGTCTCCAGACTTGCCAGAAGACAGATTCCCTATGAAACGGGTAAAGACACAATTCCAACTAGTGACATAAGAGCCAAACCCGAACTGAAGAGCCAGGATTCTGGGATCTGTGAGAAGGTAATACACTGCATTCATAATACCTAAATTCTCTGACAACTGGCAAGTTAACAAATCTGCATATTGTACCATAATTAATCATGAAGGTTCCTGCCAAGAAGATGCTGATAACCTGTGAGTTAACACAATGAGCAACGATTTAGAGGCTGTAAAAGGTCATCAGCTTTTTATTCCCACCCTGGTTCATTATTCAGCTGTCTTTGTTGTATTTCTGGTGCTGCTTTAGAAAACTTAGCATCTGAGTGGTGTGTTGGCTTGTGTTTGGTTTTAAATGTCCGTTTAGTAAGATATGCCTTTCACTATCCAAATTACTTGGCCAATCTTCCTGTTGTCTCACCATTTGCTACCAAATGAGCACTTACAGTAATATGTAGAAAAAGGAAAAAAAAGGCTATTTTAGTGTACCACTACTTTTCAGTCAGTTTTCTGCTATCCTCTTTTTTTTCCCTATATTTTGCATTGTGCATATGTAAAATACTGAGACTTACCTATATGCCATTTATGTCTTTCTTATCCGTGTTCATTTTTCAGACATCAGTAGATGCTGATGACATATTGATGGTGGAATTGAATGTCAGAATGGCTACACCTACTGTAAGAACCATTATTTTAATATTTGGCATGCATCTAAGTAACTGAGGGAACAAAAACTAATGACAGTCTCTGAGCACAAAATAATTTATTTTTTGAGATGCAAATATCACACAACACTCCCAGAAGAATGCAGAAAACATGACCACAAAGGGTAGATCATTGCTGAAACTTAGCAAAAGGAAAACACACCTACTACAGGATTCTCCTTAAGTACAACTTCTTGAAGGAACCTGAATATTTTCTTGAATTAATAAGTCTGTGATTTCCTTAGTGGAAGCATTAATTTTGTGCCACCTTCCTATGAATAAAATACCCACTAAGCTGAGATAGTCATTCTGATGGCTGTACCTCTGAGACAGCCATGGTCCTGTGGCAAGTATTGCTGTATGAAGTGATGTTGTTAACTATTTAATGTTCTCTGTTTTGGGTTGCAGAAAACATCTAAAATGTGCAACCTGGAGGAAATCAAGGTCAGTTTTTGAAACATGCCATGTCACCTATTCAGTAACATGTTGTTCTAGTGTCTGTTCCTTCTTCCATGTAACACAGCTACACACACGTGTAAAAAAAAATGGACATCTCTCACAAATGAGTCAACTTGCCTTAATTCTTGACAGATGGAGAAATAAGAGCAAAGATCTGACAGGTGAAAACAAGGTAGTTTTATCTCTGCAGTATTAACCCCAATGTAATACAACTATCTCAAATTATCTCTTCATTGTTAGCAGAGATCCTTAAGAGCTATTGTTAGTCTCATCCTATCTGATTTCTTGGTCCTGTACAAGTGACAGCTAAAATTGCTTATTGTCAAAAATTGCTAATTAATCTTTTCCTCAATTCCTGTTTTCACCTCATTATAGAGTTTGCTTACCCCTTCAATCTATCCACGCTCTTATCATCACATTTTACATTACCTCTTGCCCAGAGAACCTAAACAGGTTCACTAAGCATACTCACAGCACTTTTGTTCATAGCTGAACATGCTGTCATTAGCCTGGTCTTTCTTCAAAGTAGACCAGAAAAGTGCTTATCTAAATATATGCCACTTTTTCACAGATGATGCAATGTGATCTTGTAGATGTTTGTGCTTTCCATTTCTTTTAAATCTCTGCATCCTTTAGGAAGGTGAGAGCCTGAACAGTATTGGACAAAGGAAAGGAGAGTCTTGCTATGGATCATTGGCAGCTCAGATACCCAGCATTACAATAACATGCAGCAATGTCCAAGGAGTAGAGCTGCCTTCTAGATACAACTCTGGTTTCCTGTACCCTAAGAGCAACAGTCACAAGCAGAACAAGAAGCCCAACAGTTAAGTAAGTGAGTGGTGCAAGCCAGTATATCATCCTAGCCAATAGCTCTGGAACATCTATGGACTGACTGAATTCAGAATACCTTCCTGCATTGTTCTGAAATGCCCCTACAAAGACACAACACAAGACAAGCAAGGAGTAAAGCAGGAAGAGTGATCTTTTCAGCATCAGAACTCTCTCCAGTGGTTCATGTCTTGATCTGAGTCACACTGTATTTTTTCTTCTTTATGCAGCTCATGAAACAATTTCTTTCGTTTGGATTTTACTCTGCTCAGGTATATTCCACCACTACACAGACCTTACCTACAAGCCTCCTGGGATTAACTTGAGAGGAAAGGGAAATACAATATTCAAAACAGGCCTTTGTTCACTCGGTGTAGTTTAACTTCAAAGCTGTTACAGAGGTAAAGCTGAGAGATTTGGGGGAAACTGTACATTATTACCTCCTGAAGATGGTTTCTTCATTACTGTGAAGTTTCTCAACCAAAAGAAAACTTAATCACACAGTCAGTGCTCCCCTCTCTCATTAATGACGTGTTTTACCCCATTTTCTTCTACAATCCAATGGAAAGGCAATGCACTTGAGTGGTAATTTAAAGTTTCAGATCTTTATTTTAATTTCTGAGACTCCGGGGAAAGAGAAAGGGATAACAGTTGAGGACAAAGCAATGGTCCTTTCCATCCTTGGCTTCTTTTTCCAACAGTGGCTTAAGAGACCAGTTTAACCCAGTCTTAGCCAATCTCCCCAGAGGTTCTGATATCTGCCTTCTGCTACTTCAAAGTGGTTTACATTTAAATGTGCTTTTCTAAAGTAAATCTTGGGAGGAGAAGGGTTAATTCCCCGAAAAGAGTTGTTCTAGAGATGTGTGGAATCCACACCATCCCCACTTTGGCATTTCCATTTTTCCCTTCTCTGAACAGCAGCATTCATATAAGTGAGGGTTTTTTCCCACAGTGACTGAATCTATGAGATTGTATTTACTTCCCTTGAAAGGAAAGGAAAAGAGTTTCATCAAATAGTGATTTTCAGCTTTCCCCTGGTGTTTCTTCTAGTGCATAAGAATAAATGGATAAATTTAATTTGCAAATCATATCAGTCTACATCACAAGAATTATGAGGAATGGACAATCCAAAGTGGGGAAATAGACCTTCTGAGCCCAAAAGAACAGGGCACAGAGCTATTGAAACAGTTCTTCCCTCAGGCCCTCCAGCAGTTCTCCTGTTGGTTGCAATAATAGAGGGAACTCAGCAAGGAATTTTATCTTAAGTAAATCAGTTCTTCCTTATGTCAGATCAGAAAAAGCTATAAAATCAATAAAAACGTAACCAGCTTATTATTTTGAGAGGGGAAAAAATGTAAATCAGTGGGTTCCAGAAGACTTGGGGCATTGTTTTGAAGCAGACTTTTGGAAACTTGCTTCAAACCAAGGTTTATTAAAAGAAAGGCAATTAAAACTAAAAATAAAGGTGATGATGGCTTCTGCAGCAGATGAATGTTAGATCATGAAAAAGTGGGCTGTTCAGGCTGGTAATAAACTACCAAAAGAAACACACTGTTCAAAATCCACAATGTTTTTATGTAAATAAAATCACAGGCATTAGAGATGGAAAGGAGCTATTACAGTTTCTCCCTTCACCCACCACAGCCGGATATTGTCTCCCTGCAGAGGACAATATTAAACTGATAATATATAAAGCCAGCAAAAAGGAGGAAGAAGGGAGAAAACATCTTCAAACAGGAAGTATGTTCAAAGATATTCATCAAGTCTAAGGAATTCTATTATGACTTATTGCTTGGGCTTTTAAAATTGTTTAAAAACATGAAGCATATAATTCTTCCTTTGTCATGAAGGCCTTTGACACTAGTGAAAAATGGGAAGAAACATTAGTAAGTGCTGCCTATCTCATATGGGTCACAAAAGACTGAACCTGTCAAGAAAAATAGGTCAAAGCTCACATATGCTGTTTCATGTGTTAACAAGGAGTGCATGGTATGTGTCATTAATAGCTAGATCCTTTGCTCCTGTCATGATTTTGTTCCAAGCAGTATTCTTGAAGACTACACTCTGCACACTTCTGCATTCCCTTCCACTTTTAGAGGGCATAAAAAGAATACTTCCATGGCTAGAAAAGCTTTACGAATCCACAGCATGTTGTTCTCTATATCCTTCAACTCCAACATGTATTAGAGATTAGTTTGTATCTATAAAAAGAACTACAGCTGTTCGTGCTCATCTACTTACAAGAGACTTGTAAAGCATATATTAATTAGGGAGAATTTGTTTGTGAGCACTTCAAAACCCTTGTGTGTACTCCCTGTGTAACGAACAGTTTTGCCTTCCCTTCACTCTGCTGAGACTATAAAAGTAATTTTGGGGAAAGCCTACAAAATTCCTCTCACCTGAATATCTCTACAAGTGGTTCACACTGTAACCCCTGTGGCATTTGGAATAAATCATTATTAGTTCATATTTCATCTCATCTTAGCAGTTTTATTTGTGTCCTGTATCCTCTGCTTGGCAGCCACTCTCTTCGCTTTGCTGTCTCTTTACACCCTGTAACACAGATGACTGATTGGATTAAAATAATTTCGGCCCGAGATGATTCACGTTTCAGTTAAAGTCAACTGTACAGCCTGTTCTGCAGTGGAGAGACCGCCTGTAGTTTACCAGGCACTTGGATGTGTCCCAGTGACTTGGAGGTGTGACAGGACTAGGGCAAAACTGAGGCGCTTCCCTTTGGCCTTTTGTACCGGAGCAGCTGTTCCCGGGGCAGGCTGCTGGCAAAGGCACTGCTGCGAGTTGACAGACACGCTCTGCCCCTCCACGGGGGCACAAACTCCTGCTTGGGTCACAAGTGAAAATGTTTGGTCTGGTCATTCGAGCAATTCTGCAAAACTGCTGAGCTACTGGTCACTACTGCTGGACCTGCAAAGAAGGTGCCAAGAGCCAGTGTAATAAAAGCCTGCTCCGAGTCAGGACTGAAGGACTGTGTAAGGCAGCAGCCACAAGTTGCCAGTCTTTCCAACTTCCACATACAAGCAGGGATCTTAGTCCCTATTTTTTGCAGCTTACAGCCTCCCCTTCCATACTTTTGGAAACTTTTTTACATCCACTACTGAACTACAAAAGTGTCATCGTAGCACGTGACATTGAGTATTGACATTTCACACATTCCCAGGTAAGACAGAATAGCAAAGAGCATTTTTTTTCACTTCATATACAAAACCAACAGCAAGCTTGACATTCAGAAATAACCAAAGACACCTCCAATGCTTCAATGCTTTTTGGGTGTTTCTACAGCTCCAGGGCATAATATGGGTAAGTCCCTATTCCCACTTGTGCCTGTTTTCCTCAGTTTGGCTGGTGCCATTTTTCACTTAGGCTGTTCCAAGAGGTGCTGCAATGTGGCCCCCATCCTGTGATCCCTCAATAACTCTGACAGGGCAACTGTCTGTCTCTGCTGCTGAAACTGCTCCTTCCACAGGGCTCTGTTGGGTGGGGCCCTTATCTGCGAGGCAATGTTTGTGTCAGACAATGGTATTTCAGTGGCTGAGCAGCAGGTATCTCAGTTCAAACACTTGTGCTTGTAGCCTTGCAGTTGTTAGTGTCATAGGAATGTGAGGAGTCTTATGTTATAAATAGGTTTATATAAAAGCAGTTTTAAAACAAATAAATCAATTATTAATAGTGCCATTCCTAGTAACCCTAGACACGGGCCACAATCCTGTACACTAACTGATTCCTGTACCTCCCTTACCCCATCGAATTTATAACCTAAATGCTCATTTTCAATCTTATGCAAATTCACAGTTGTCAAAATTTATAATCTGTCCTATTTACTTCCCTTCTATGGACAACAGAGTGAGTAGAACATCAGTGTAACCTTAATAAAGCCAGAAAAGTTTCTTCACAGCAAATCCAGCCTTAACAGTCTGATACAAACCACAAACAGTAAGAAGAAGATTTTTTTCTCTTCTGTAGGAAACTACTTCTTTTAGTTACGGCAGTTCTGGCAGCAGCAGGGCTCTGCTGGAGGCACAGCACAGGAATTCTTTGTACCTGGCTCAAGAGCAAAGCAAATGCTGCAAGAGTCACGTCAGTGTAGGAAAATGCTCACCTCACTATGTATAGAGATGTCAGAATCTCTTACTAGACTACAAAGCTGGACCGATGGTGTTTGGTTCACATATTGCCTACAAACACTTCTGGCAATGAAATCTGCTCTCAAGGTTAACATTCACCTGAAACTGGGGGTAAATAGTAGGCTGAGAAAAATGGAAAGGGATTCACCCCTCTTACAGTGAATGTTTCCTCCCTACTCTTATGTTTCCTTTTTTTAATTACTATCTTTAAACTTACACAAACAGCAGTATCTATGTAGATTTAGTACCAAAGATATTTTTGATGCCTTTCAGGATGGTTTGGAAACAGACCCAAAAATCTGAGACTACATCATTGTGCAGCACGAGCTCTCCAATGTAAGGTTTCATAAAGGACATTTCCTGAATTAGTTGTGGGACACTTAGGGGCATACTTACAACTGCCATAATGTTTTCCACTGACTGGAAAAATAGAAAGGAAAATCCATACCCTTCCACACAGTGCCATGCCCAAAGGGATACAGAGAAAGTGACTGTACCTCTAATGTAACAGCATTTCCTTCAAAAATCTATTACAGATACCCAGATGCACCCTTTGGATTGGTATAACTGCTTCTCATGAAGTTTTTCAGATGCCTGAAGTTAATCACGTGCATAAATATTTACACAACCCCTTAGGACACACAAGTGGTTTGGAGGAGTTAGGAGTATGTTAGGTCAGTACTAAAAGTTACTGAATTTCAAAAATACTTTTCCAGACTAGTATTTGCTGCTAACTCCATGGAACTGTACATTATTAAATTTTCCAAGTTTCAGATTCTTCTCATTTTCCCTGCTTCTCATAAGTGACCAGTCAACTCTTCACCAGTTAATCCACAGGGCCAGAGGGAAGGCCTTCACTCCCTCTCTCCTGGGTAAGGGGGACTGCTGTGGAATAGCTGCTTCTCACCCCACTGCTCTTTGAAACCCTGATCTCTTGAGTGCCTGTAAGCCCAGGACTCAGCTCCCTT